AGCTCGTCGGGCCGGAACCCGAAGCGGGCCTCAAAGTCGGCGGGCGCGATCCACAGGCCGGCGATCGACGTCATGCGGTACACAAAGTCCTGGACGTCCTGCGCCGGCGGGATGCCGTCGAAGCCGTGGTGCCGGCGGATGCGGTCCGACCGGATGCCGCACTCGGACGCCAGCAGCAGGAAGAGGCTGCGCATGCGCCAGGGGTGGAGCTCCTTGTGCGCCTGGCACAGCACGGCGGCGTCGGGGACAAAGGGCAGCGAGTGCTTCTCCGACATTTTCATGAGCCCTCGCTTGAGGAGCTTGATGGGGTTGGCGCCCTCGACGGGCGGACGCCGGCAGCTCTGCGGCAGGTTGGCGACGGCTTCGCTCTGGCTGGCCTGCCAGCCGGCCGTCGGCCGAACGAGCCCGTGTTGGGGAGGGAGCGTGAGTATGGCCGTCAGCTTCTGCACCGCGCGGGTGGGAAAGTCTTCAATGTGGTGGTCAGTCATGGTGGGCTTGTCGTCATGTGGTGGTGAGTGCTGGCCACTTTGGTATGCTATCAATTCTCCTTTAGACAATAACTTTGCATCTCCTAGTGGTTCGAATCCTCATCCTCTGTCTGGAAGAGACAGGAAGGCTTATAACGCAGCAGAATGAACAATGCCCAAGACGAGTGCTCGAGAACAACAGGCCGAACATCGACCACCCAGTCTGTCGGGAAACACCAAGCATGCGCGCGTCTGGTCGATGCCTGGCGTCGTGCCGAGCAGAACAATGTGCCAGGCATGAGCAGTCTTTGTGAAGAGCAAGGGTTATCAACGCCTTTGTCCTTTGTGTTCACTGGTCGGCGGCCCTCGAGTATGGTCCCTTATCGAATCCTTTGCGTGATCCCTACACTATCAAAGACGGCAGTTGGCAGGCTCACATTGGGGTGTCCAGAGTGTAGCATGTAGGCAGGACGTGTTGAGGCTCTCGAGAGTTTGTACAAGGCTTTGTTCCCGTGACCGGGATCGTGTCACGGAACAGTGACTGTAATACCTAATCATAGCATATAACGTACATCTTGAGGACAATCAGCATCATTACGCTCGAGGCTGTTCCAGTAGCGCGTCACGAGGGCTTTCATCGCTCAATCGGTACCTCGGCCGAGGTAGAAACATCGCTGGGCACATCAGGCCAATGGTGAAAGGGTTTATTGCGTCGGACGTGGTCGACTGCCGGTAGCGTCTGCGGGTGCAGCAAGTTTGGTCGAGCCAAACGGGATCATGGTTGGCTTCGCCCGAGTCCACTGTATAGAAAACACATCCCCCTTTCCGTCTCATCCTCTCTGTAGGGGAGCAGCCAATCCATACATGGGCGTGGCCATCCGGTCGGAGGAAGCAAAAAGCAGGCTGCATGTGTGGGCGCATGCTTGGTATAACGGCCACTCTGACATGCCAGTCCTAGTCTGCGCCGTCCCGCCGCTGTACAATCCGGAACTCCGAGACCCTCAACGCCGAGATCATAAGTAATAGTGTCGTGGTTCATCAGCTGGGTCCGTCACGCGTGCATATGGGGCAGGCGGGCAATCTCTTGCTCCATCCTGGTCCGCTCCAGGCGAATCTTAGCCGCTTCTGTGCCGTCGTCGGGTTGCGCCGGCTCCTTGAACCACGGATGGTTCAGGGCTTCCTTGGCCGTGATGCGGTGCGCCGGGTCGTAGATGAAGATCTTGCGCAGCAAGTCCAAAAAGTTCCTGAAGAACGTGTTGTTGGATGGGATGATTTCCTGCACCGCGTCAGCAAGCTGGGTCGACGTGTCGTGCGCGCATATACATACCGTCAGGTGCTTCATGGCTTTGACGAATCGCCTCGACGCCCGCGTAGTGTCTGTCGTGGGATAGTCCAACTTGGACCGCTTAAAGTACCTGGTCATGTCAGCATCAGGACAAGTCACGATCGAAAGAGAAAACGCACTTGGCAGCAGGGTTTCCTGCGCTCCTCTGGGCCATCTTGCTGACCGACTGGACGAGATGGGTGTCGATCCTCGAACCGCAGACCATCTCCATCATGGCGAGATGCTCCAGGTTATCGTGCGTCTGGAAGAGCGCATCGCCGGTGAAGAACTCGACGAGGATGCAGCCGATGCTCCAAATGTCGCAAGGGAAAGACCAGCCGAGGCCCAGGATAATCTCGGGCGCTCGGTAGTGCCGTGTCGACACGACGGAGGAATGGTACTCGTCTTGGAACGTGGCAGAGCCAAAGTCGATGAGTCGAATCTCCGTGTCCAAGAGCACCCTCCTCTGATTCGCTTGGCGATTGACGGTGGACGACGACGAGGGAATCTTCCTGTTGTACGTGAATGTCTGATAGGTGTTGTCACAGAGAAGAATGTTCTCGGGCTTCAGATCCGTGTGGATGAGGTTGAGGTCATGGAGGACTGCGGAGCGTTAGCCTTGCCATCAATAGCCTTGCCATCAATTGCCGGCAGGGAGAAAACATACAGGCCACGCTGGTGAACAGTTGACGGGCGAAGCTTTGAATCTGGCTGTTGGGGAAGGGCACAAAGTTGTTGCCCTTGAGGAAATCAAAGACACTCTGGCCGAGCAGGTCCATGACAATGCAGATGTGGCCCTGGAAGTCGAAGCAGTCGCGCAAATGAATACACCGGTTGCGGTTCTCGTCGTCGTTGGCCTTGAGGGTAGCCAGAACCCGCAGTTCGATGCGGGAGGCGTCGCGGTATTTTTGGACGGAGCGAATGATCTTGATGGCGACCATCTTGTTTCTCCGGCGGTCGCGGGCCTTGACGACTTTGCCAAACGTGCCCTGACCCAACAGCTGGACCATTTGATCTGCGAGATTTAGCGCCCGGCTGATAGAAGCTGAGAAGGAGATGCATACATTTGTCTGTGAGGTCGGCGTCGGGGACGACGACGTAGTGGCCATCGTCGTCGTCGACCTTGCTGTTCTTGTTATAGGGATGCTACAGAAAAGATTGATTAGTGACGAACCAAACACGGCAGGAGCAGGCGACGCACATCCTGGATGACGCGAACGTGGACGTCGGGCGCCTTCTTGGGAGGGTAGGGCGGAGGCCTGTAGCTGGGACATGTGTCGCTGAGGGCCTCGAGCTCCCGCTTCTTCGCCTCTTGGGCGAGCTGCTGGCGGGTGGTTCTTTTCCTCTTTTGGCCGGCCTGGGTGTCTTCGTGGTAGCCGTTGGACGAGGACAGCGAGGTGGCGGCGGTGGTGTGATGAGCCGAGCTCGTGGTCCTGTCGGTGGAAATGGTGGATCCACTCGGGGTCGAGTGGTTCTGAGGCGTATGGGCGTGGGAGCCAGCGTACTTGTTGTGGTAGATGGGATCGTACGGCTGGGGTTCGTCGTCACGCTTTCGACGCTTGGCGACATGGCGAGCGGCGGCGGCACCGTTGGCGGTGGTGGTGACGTTCAAAGCCGCCGCGGCTGTAGCGATGACCTTGACGCCACGATTGGGCGCCTGGCCAGGCTCTGGGCTGTCCTCAATGACAATGATCTCTTTGGGCAGGCCGTTTTGGTAGAACTTGTCCCAATCGGGGGCCTGGGAGCGCCTCCTCTTCCTCGTGGCCGACGACGGCTGCTGAGCAGACGACTGGGTATGTGTGGTGGTGGTAGGCATGGTGTTGTAGGCGGCGGCGTCGGATCGGGGAGCGGGTCTCGACGTGTGGTGGTGGTGGTGGTTGTGGTGGGTGTGGTGGGTGTGGTGGGTGTGGTGGTGAGCGGCAGATCTGGGAATGGCAGCGTTGGATGCGGGCTGGGCTACGCCATTTGACAGCGAGGCGGCCGCGTGATTATTGATGTCGGGCGGCGAGGCCGTCGAGTAGTCGATCTGGCCGGGCGCAGGGTAGGGAATGGGAGGCAGTCGAGTTGCTGTTGTTGTTGTTGTCGTTGTCGTCGTACTCGAGGCGGCGGTCGAGGAAGGGGTGGGGAGGATAGGGTTGCTCGCGGTGGGCGCTGCGCGGTGGTAAGATGCAGGGCCGCCGCTGGGGGTGCTGGTCTGGTAGGCCTGGCTGGCGTGGGGATGGGTGTGGTGGGCGTAGGGATAATGGTTGTGACGATAATGAGAGTGCGGTGGGAGCGTGGCCGTTGCTGTGGTTGGGGTCGACATGATTTTCCCCGTCGACTCTGGCAGAAGCAGAAGCGTCGAGTCTGTTGCGTCGACAGATCGAGAGACGGAGGAGATGGGGATGGCGTGTTGAAGGAGGAGGAGAAGGAGGGAAGGAGGAATCGAGTGACGGGAAGAGGAGGCAGACAGACGGACAGACAGACGGACCTAGCCAGACCAGACAGGCAAGGCAGGCTGTGGACTGTGGAGGAGACCTGGACAAGGTGAGAGGACCTGGACAAGGTGAGGAGTGTTTCGACGGTCGGCCAAACCCAGTGCTGGGTGGAGGGTTGCCGGTCGCGGTCGCCTGGGGCTTGTGGGCGGTCGCCTGGGGGCTTGGGCTGTGGGTTACGGCTTGTGGGTTGCGGGCTGCGGGCTGCGGGCTGTGGGCTGTGGGCTGGAGGCTGTGGGCACGCTGAAGGCGCTGAAGGTGGTCAACCAGAGTCCCTACTGTCCTCAGGCCAACAGTGGAGTCTCGTCCTGTGGTGGTCCGTCCTTCAGGGCATGGGTTCTCTGGCGACGAGATGCAGCACGTGCAGCCAGTGCCGGGTTCCGTCGTTTGTAGGTAGGCACCTGGGCAACAGGGTGCGACTTGTGGGCAGAGAGATGCGTATCGACTCTGTGTTGTCGGCGGAATGACCAAGGCACGAGGGCTCGAGATCAACAAGAGGGCTGTTGACAACAAGAGGGCTGTTGACAGGATGGGGAGGGTCTCGAGGTTAGGTAGGTTACCCAGACAGGTAGGTTCACAAGGAGGGTCAACCAAGAGGGACAGAGGTCAACAACGAGAGGAGCCCTGGGCCGAACAAAGTCAGGTGCTTGGTCGTGTCTTTTCCGGTACCTGTTCTCCCACCCGCAAATCGGAGCAGCGGCAAGTACACAAAAGGCAGACTGCACTGGGCCATACGGTCGTGAAATGGAACGAACACAGCGAACGATACAGTAAAGCTTGCGCCTGGCCAGTGCTGCTGTACCATGTACAGTGACAGTGACAGTGACGGCAGGAGCGAAAGAACGAAAGAACGGGGTAGGCGCCGATCCAGACTTGGCTCAAGCGGGCCACCTCGCCTCGCTGTCCCTCCAAAGTGTCCACCCACCGCCCGCCGCCATTTTCCTTCCGTTCCGTTTTGTTCAACTTTGGTCTTGGTGGTGGAGGAGAGGAGGAGGAGGAGGCTTGGACGGGCGGGGCTTGACTCGATGCTTGGCAAGGCACC